TTTCGAATACTGAAAGTGATATCTAATGGAATGGGTTTTTATATCAAGGTTATACAAAGGAATACATGTAAATAGAAAAAATCTTCTCAAGAACAGCAAAGTTATGATTGGTCATTGTTATATGGAAGCTTGTCTGGTAGTGAAGATTCAAGTGTGTTCGAATCATGAACCCTGGGGCAAGGGTGGGGTCATTATTGATGATAAAAATATGATAACATAGAAGCATCCTCAGGTAGTGTAGATTTAAGTTTGTTCACATCATGAACCCCGTGGGTGGAGTGGGGCCAAAATGGGGTATCTGAGTTTTACATAGGAATACTTGGGGGAATTCGTTAAAATTCTTCACAAAGTCATGATTGATCATCAATTTAAAAGCATCATGAAAGCGGATCTTAACAATAAACAACAAAGTCATTATGTGTCATATTAATTCAAAAGCATTCTTAGGAAGTGTAGATTCGTGGGTTCAAATACCCCCCCCCTCTCCTCCCTCAAACCCACTTTTATAATATATATGAACCTTTCAATACTGAACTGATTTTTGCTTTTATCTAGCTAGTTGCTCAGGTGAGCGATGTGGCCCATGGGACTCTTGTTTAATTATTCCGTAGATGTTACACTTTCAAGAAAATATAAGCATGATAAAAGTTTAGGATTAGTGTACTTTTTTCAGGTATGGGCAGAATACATCCTTAAAAATTTGTTGTAAAACCCTACACACATGCTTTGATACTTCCTGCATTTTCAGTTGACTTGTATGTGTAAAGATCTTTCGATTTTACAAGAATTACGTTTCTTTAAATATGCGTGTCAAGCATATTCAAGACTCATTTTCTTCTGATTTGCAGCACAATATGAAAACTCTCCTCCTCTTTTTATGTTCCACTAGCACGTGTCTTGGTACTTTGGAAAAGCAAGGTATATTATATTGTACATCAAAAATCACATATCAATATTTTTAATTGAGGCCTTGATATACTTAGTCCAAAAAGATATAAATTTCTATATCGCACATGTATTTGGTAACATCATATCTTAAGCTAAACGAATCATCAATGTTATCATGTTATGTAAGGGGTTAAGGGTATGTAAGAACGTTCGTTCCATGATGAAATATTTTCAAAACCTTCAAAGTAATGCTTAGGTAAAAAGATGATTTTTACATCAATCATCAATTACTGCAATTTTCCATAACATATCTGTACAACTATTTTAAAATAAAAGACTCGAATTTTTGGCCTTCAATACCAATCAGTCGGAAGAGTATATCCATACTTTCTTTAATGAAATTTGTTTGGAAAGGTGAAGGTTATGTAAGCTCCTGCGTGATTCGAACAAATGACTTGGCGTTATGGCTAAAACGGGGCAAAATCTATTCTGTGCTACATCGTAACGCAACAATTTTGCAAAAAAGTACATGTATATTTACATTCATTTTTAATATCATAAGTACATTACAATATGTATGTGTCGATGTATCTCTTTTGTAAATGTCCGATATGTACATGCTTGCATTGAAAACAATATATTTCCATTTCTAATTTTTTTCTTTATGATAACCCTTTGAAAGTAAGCGGAGTTGATTTCCTGATAATTCTGCGGGAATGTAAATTAGGCAGGTCGATAGGTCAGGAGCTATGGAGGCCTAGTATGCATGAAAATCTCGTGCGCATCTGTCTCTGAGTCTGACGCTAAGGAGGCCAAATATGCATGAAAATTCCGTGCGGCTGCTGTTGTGTTCGGAGAGGCCTACTAAAATTGGGATGGGAATCCTCGTGTAATTTAAATCTATGTCTGCATTTTTAAAGTCTAAATCAACAATTTTATTTCACAATGAAATGGAAATATAAGGAATCACTGTCTAGTTATGAGAGTATGCCAGGGACATCAACAATAGTGGGAAACATGGGATAATTTTAGCATAACGGGCTTCGCCCGTTATGCAAATTATCCCATGTTTCCCACTATTGTTGATGCCCTGGCATACTCTCAAAACTAGATAGTGATTCCTTAAGTCAATCCGTGCAGGCACAGGTCAAACTATAGTAATTTATATTGCATACAAAATCTTTAAATACATAAATTATAACGGTAATATAAACCGCCTGGCCGGTTGGGTCAACTAAATGCATTTTTTATGCAAATGAGGTAGAAAATGCTGGATTCTGATTGGTTAATGGGATAGGGAGGTCAACCGAGTGCATTTGGCGCCGCATGCGCCTTAGCACTGGGTTGGGCGGGTCAAATGAGTGCTTTTTTAGATAGGCTCAACACCTTCTTACTCTAAATAAGTCTAAGAGTTTTTCCAAAGTCGTTATAAATTTAATAAAAAAAAAACAGTAAGACAGACCTTGTTTTTCCTGTTGATAATTATTTGTCATGTTGAAACAATACCACTCTTTGATTTTAAAAGACAATGATTTCTTAATGCAATCAATTGCGCAAAACCAACAACATATCCCTCCAGAGACAGAAAAAAGTGTTCCAGGAAGCCACCATCATCATAAAAAAAACACTCAGGAAAAAATATGCATTCAGTACTGCATGAAATATGTGAAAATGTCAGACAGACTAAGAAACCCCAACTTTTAATATTAGTCAATATGAAATCTATGATTTACCACCCGAAGATAAAAAAAAGTTCATGAAGGTTCTGGTAGCTGATCAAATAAGATTTCATTGGAAAATTCAACAATTTGAAAATCTAAAACAAAGAAAACCTGAAGACCAACACCTTGAGGTTGAAATTGCGGAAGATTCACACGTGTGGACATACGAAGTGATGTAATGTATTTTTGTATTGTGTATTATTCATTAGAATAAATAATAAAAACACCGAGTTCTCTTAATTTTTAAATAAAACTAGAGGTACTGTGAGCGATGAGCTCACTAAATGATACCCCCCGCCTCCCATATGGTTATAACTGGTGAAAAAGTCCATGTTTTCCTGTGGCCGGGAAACCCAAAATATGTGTCGGATCAAAAAGTAAAATAGGAGGTGCACAATGGCAATATGTAATAAAGATTCTGTGAAAGTTGCATCAAATTTCATTCAGTGGTATGAGAGGAGTTGCGGATAAGAGATGGGTACCCCAAAGCGTAACAGACGGACGGACGGACAGACGGAAGGACGGACGGACAGACGGACGGACGGACAGACGTACAGACGGACGGAATTAACGATTACTATATACCCTCCCGCTTTTCAAGCGGGGGGTATAAAAAATACAAACACCAACTTTTTGTTTTCATTTTAAGAGCCTGTCTACGAGAAAACCATGCAGATATATAGAAAAATGCTCTGATAGGCAGTCTCAAGAACAAACTAATTTTAATTATTAACTTAAAGGACACCCATTGAGAGTCAGAAATATGTTGTTTATTTTTGCTTGGGTTGTTTCTATTTTTAGTAACAGCCAATAATTCATTTTGGTCAATATTCAAGGGAAAATGCAAAAAAGTTGGTGTAAAAATGACAATTTCAATATTTAAAAGTAAAAAAGAAAAAAACAATATAGAAATAAAAGGCCAATGTTTTCTCATAGAACTAAGTCGTAAAATTAAGTTGGAATCAATTTTTTTGTGAAACCCCTCTATAGAAGGCTGTCCCGAGGGCACAAATATTGGCATGGATCCAAGAAATGATAATGGTTCATTTTTTGTCAATATTCAGGGATATATTTCTTAGAAAGTGACGCTTCTTTTTTCAGAATTTTTTGCATTTAAGAATCTCTAGGATATTATCCAAACAATATGCAAAATCCACCTTTGGACTCTCAAGGATAGGAAAGTAATATCGTAATGAAATTACCTCAAATTCAAATGATGGAAAAATTCATGATTTTATAAGTTTAACTTTTAACTGTAATTCTAATGAGTTTTGTGTAAAATATTTACAAATATAAACAAATAAAATTATTTTTAATTTTATAAAAGCTATAAATAATTTTTTTTTCCTGTGAAAAAAACGTATTTCACTATTTATTTAGATTTTGTTAGAATTATCTCCCCTGTTGCGCTCTTCTGTAGAGAAGGTAGATAATGATTATGTTTACGAAGTTATCTAATCGTTTCAGGCAAAATTATTAGTGATTTGAAGAAAATTGTCCTTTCCTGTGAATATAATTTGTTACGTATATACTAGCATGTACTAATGGCCTATGTATAAATTACATACAAAATTATGAAATCCATCGGGATCGATATACGGTTCCTTAACCACGTGTAAACATTATGGCATCCTGCGACGTTTTGTAGTTGTATCGTCCTCAGAAAAAGATTCAGGTGCGTGAATTGTCAGCGAGTCTTCAGATTCTGGCTCTTATTTTGATGAATACGATTCTGACAGCGGAAATTCAATTGGTAGCGAGACGGATGTAGTGATGATGATCTCGTGATGATGATACCGAATCAACAATGTTTGAATTTGAAAAAGAAACAGGTAGTTGGACATTTGTTTATAATACTATGTACTTATAAAAAGGCTTATTGATATGTAAAAAATAAATAAATAAACAATTTTGATGGGGACTTGATTATGTACAAGAGAAGATTTTTTACAAGACAATATCAGGTCTGGTACAATCACTAGATTTTTTTTATAGCTACGTAGCTTGATTTACCTACTTGGTTAGCTTTATTTACCTACCTTAAGTAGCTTTATTGAGCTCTGTATCAAAGTAATTTATTTCTATAAAAAAAACTTCTACCTGCATAGCTAAATCTAGTGATTGTACTGGACCTGAATATATACCTTAGCAAACATGTCAAGAGAAATTTCAAGGTTGGTACATGTACATATAGCAACAAAAATATCTGTATAAATTCAACAATATTGCAAAATATTCACATCTGCAGAATTATAAATAGCATAAGTAGCCTTTGTTGGGTGATGAAGAGGGAATGAAAAGTTGAATAGGTCCAGGGTTTTCAAAGTCTTAGACTGTTTACTAGTAGGGTACGTTAAGAATTGGATAGATGGGTCTTCACTGTCAATTAAATCACCATTATTACCTCATATGTGGGATCCATGATTATAAAGAATCTCATTTAACAAAATATTTTTTTTCACATATTTATGAGATGTTATGAAGATGGCTACACTTATGATTTTCGGCTTTATGGAATAGTAGAATTTTCTTTATGGGAGATCACAATTATTAGAAAAAAAGTTGTTGTCAAATACTTGTGCAGACTGCAGACTTTTCAAATTAAAGGTCACCATGTGTTCCTTGACAGGTTTGTGTTTAAAACAACTAATATTATAAATATAAGTCTGGGAAATTATACTTTGTAAAGTATATTTCATATTTCATTCTTATATTTCTTGTGCAATTTCAGATTATTCAAATTAATTTCCCTGGTTAGGGCTGGGCTTTACAATGGGATTTTCAGCTGTGGAGCTATAAAGAATTACTACATATGGTTTCCAATGTAGTTTTGTGAACAGAATCCAGAAATAAGAAGAGGAGAGACAATGCAGCATAAGCATTACCAATTACTTGCCACTGCTGAGAAAATGGTAAAGATATATTATATTATAGTACATGTATAGCAATTGCCTTGTCTGTCTGTCGATTTGCCTTTTCTCCCTATTCTGTTACTTTACTTCAAGGATATATGAAGCTGTTGTTTTCTTCAAAGATAGCCAGAAGAATTTGTGAAGAATCTTACCCAAGTCATTTGATGACATTTTCTTCAATTGGAAAATATAAATGTAGCATTATCATAAACATGACATTTATTTTGAAAATCTTAGAATATGTCTAGTATGGTTTATTTCAATTTAATTTGAAAACTGTCCTTTTTCACAGGTACATGCTTTGAGTACTACTTTTGTGTATTAGGAGACAGTCCAGTTCTTCTTTAAACCAGGAGTGGAAATTTCAGTGCTTGTTCAATTTCTCCAGAAGTTATTGGATGCTACATAGGAAGAAAATGGGGTCATACTGAACAGAATAGTTTGGATACACCTTATAGATTTTAAAAGCTTGAGACCTCAAGATCAACCCAAATGGTGTACCAAACATGAAGAAAAAAAGACAGTTTATGATTGAAGAAGCTTGTGTAGTATCCAAAATTTCAGGGTATTTCATATATGTTAATTTGTACGATTTTATTGGTACATGTACTTAAACATAGTTAACATCTTGATATTTAATATGTATCAGGTTTCACTTGCAGGAATACACAAAAATTCAGAGTAAATTTTAAGTGTTTGTTATGTTAGAAAAGATCAAAGTTCAAGGTCAACAGTGCTTTAGTTTTTACCAAATATAACACTATTATAAAGACTAATTTCCTGTATACAGGTATAGCAAATAATTCAGAATATGATTTGGGAAACTGTGATTTTTTTCTTTTAAATCTTATCTTAATTTAGAACCATGATGTATACTTAAGCAAGTAGATTTTTTTCAAGCATACAAAATTTCAAGGTCATTTTAATTTTGGAAATGAATATAAAATATCAGGAAGTAGTCAAGCATTGTAATTTTTTTTGTTGTTGAATGTACTTAGTTATAGAGTAATATCTGCAATGAAATTAAAAATTATAAATGTTCTAATTTGTTGATTTTTAAAACTTGGTGTTCTTTCATTTTGAGTTTGTTGCCATGACAATATGTCTGTCAAGAAAATGGCTCTGATATTCCTTTTTGTTCAGTTTGACCCTTGACCTTTGACATTGTGACCTCAAAATCTAAAAGGGTCCTCTACTTTTCAAGAAACCAGTGTACCAAATTTGATGTCTGTCAAGCAATGGGTCCTCAAGATTTTGAATGATTAAAATCTACATACTGGTATATTGAGAATTATAACCCTTGACCTTTGACCTTGTGAACTCCAAATTAAAAGGGGCCATCTACTTATTAGTAGGTACCAGTGTATTATGTTTATTATCTATCAAGCAAATGTTTTCTTTAAGATAAGAGAGAACACACTTGGTCCTGATTGACAAAGAGGTACTAAGCAGTATGTGAATATCACCCTTTTCAAAGAAAATGTAAAATAATACAATTCTAGTACCCCCCCCCCCCAATTAACCCCCTAAGAAATAATTATTGATTGAAAACAAAAATGTATAATATCCTGGTATTTTTCAACAGCAGTATTTGAACTTTTGAAAATATTCAAATCAGCAAAATAACTCTTTGCTGAAGTTCAGGGATGAGAAAATTTGAAAATTCACAAAAAAATGTCCAACTTTAAGTAAAAAGTACAGCAAAATATTTGAGAGTCCAAAGACAGATTTTTTATATAATGTAGACAGATATGTTGTCTAATAATTGGAATGAGATAGAGTTGATTCTAAGCGTCACTTTCTGAGTTATAGGTTTTTGAAAAGTGAATATTTTCACCAGTTTTCAGAAATCTGGAAATATGCCAGATTTGTGACCTTTTTGCACTTAAACGAGGGCACAGTTTGTGATTATGAAAAATTTTCCGAAACAAGTGTATCTTGTTACCTTCAACCATATATGGATATTTTATATCATTATCAAGTAAAATGCTGGATTTTTAAATATAAAATCCCATAAAATTCCTGTTTTCACCCTGCGTAAGGACCAAGAATTCTATTTTTAGTAACAGTGTCGATTTAACCCCTTAAGTGAGACCACACTGAAAAAAATTTTGTGGCAAAACATTTCATATTATAGAAGAAATTTACACACAAAACATGAAGTTGATCAGAGAACCTTGCTCCCATAACCTTTTGCATGGTTTTCTCGTAGACATGCTCTTAAAAGAAACCCTGACTTCCGAGGTTCGAACTCTGACACTTTGGATCTGCAGGCCGACGCGCTACCAATGGAGCTCCCTATAACAAATCTTAATTGTAACCGTCAATATTAAGAACTACATATGACTCTACTACAAGATCGTCTGCTTTGTAATCTCGGTTTGTTTATTTTTCCCGAGAAACAATTAGAATGAAAATAAATCTTGTTACAAGTGTCAAACAACATCCACGAAATGTGAAACCATCTTTAAGGACTGTTTGTAGAGTTTAATATCCTCAGGTAGAGAAGTTCTGAGTGTCTAAATTGAATATGAAAAAAAAAAATGGCCGACACCCTGACCCTGTGTGTATAGACCGACCCACGCCAACTGTATTTCTCCCTTTAGGAGGATTGAATCGAACTAAAAACTATATCTGCCTGTTTCCCTCTGTCCCATCTCCTAATAAGTAGTGCTTTTTCTTCCTATCTCGCTGTAATAAAGCTAAACTAATATTTTTAGGTATCAAGGTCATTGCTTTCGACCCACCATGCTTCGACGTTTTTCTGAATTTAAAAGTCACCAAACAATGTCATGAATCAAATATAATATCAAAAAATGCGGGAAACCTACTTTCTTTAGACCTGAATCATGATTTAATCCGATTATGAATTTACAATAAATAATCCATCAAAATGTACATATTGAATACATTTCAAATTTTGCCTCAGTTTGTTTACTAGGTTACATTCGGGCTTTTAAGGTGGTTTCTCAGACGCTCATGTTCTGTCGATAAATTGTCGCCCCTGGGGCCGAGCTGCCATTCGTAAGCTATCAACTCTGTTGAGATGGCTGCTGAGGAATCCAACCAAGAATTCCACGATGAAATATTCATGTTGTCAGGCATAGAACTTATCACAATTTGGGAGGTCAGGAGGATGGATACAGGGCAAGTTTTGGGGAGCTGGAATAAGGGGGAGTGTGAGGCTTAATGACAGAAGAAGACGAACACAGAGGGCTACATCCTACTCCAGGAGTGCGCTACTATTGTCACCATCCCCACCTGACAGTCTATCACCGGAGGCAAGGAATTTTGAATTGACAGACAGCCCCTCCAGTCCTGCCCCAGAGACTTAGGGGCCCTAAGTACCACCACATCCCCAGGAAAGACCTCATTTTTACGGAGTCGTCCCCAGGTGGGCATACAGGTAGACGTCGCCATTTCATATTATGTCCTCTGCTTGTGTGATGATGAGGAGACAAATTACATCTGTGGTCAATGTGAGCAGCGGGCTGCCTGCTATATCAGCGCCGCCCTTTTAGTGGATAGAGGAGGGCTGCCCCCTCTGTCGATACAACCAGTCAGACTGCAGACAGCCGGGAGAGGCAGACGATAAACCCTTTAGAACAACAACAACAACAAAAAAGACCCTTTTTTTAGGGCCAACCTCAATTTTTAGCTCTTCTAAGCCAAAGGCTCAAAGAGCTAATGCTATGGCCATTTGTGCGGTGTGCGTCGTGCGGTGTGCGTTAACTTTTTAGAATATGGGCCATAACTCAAGAACCCCTTGGCCAATTATTGTCAAATTTGTCACAGGGTATCCTTGGCCCAAGGGCTAACATTTATACTAAAATTAAGGGTGGGACCCTAAAACAAGGGGAGATAATCACGAAATTAAAACCAAAAGTACTGGTTGATAAAAAAGCTTCTTCTCCAGAACCACCAGGCAGATTTTCACCAAACTTACATACAAGGGTCGGGATATGTTGAAGATTAAAAATTGTTCAAGGCATGACCCTGGGGCAAAGGCGTGGTCTCAAGGTCACTTCAAAGTTGACCAAAATTTACACTTATTAAAAACGTTGATATTTTACTTACTGTAAAGACTAGGATCATCAAATCTTGTAAGTTGATGCATCTCAGTACTTGACATCATGTTAATACAAAAGTAGATCACGGTGACCTACTTTATAAATTTTATAGGCTTTTGTTTTCAAATTGATTTGGAGGCATATTTTGAACACTTTAAGGCCTATGATCATAAAACTTTGTCAGTTGGTGCATCTTGGGTTCACAAACAAAATCAACTTAAAAGTAGGTCATCGTGACCTACTTTTTGAATTTTATGGCTAATCTTTTCTAAAACATTTAATCCCATTATTTCAGACACCGAGAGATTTAGAATCACCAAATCTTGTAAGTTGATGCATCTAGAGGCCTTAAAACATATTTATCAAAAAGTAGGTCACTGTGACCTATTTTTTGAACTTTGCAGGCATTTGTTTTCAATTTGTTTAAAAGGCATATTTTGAATACTATTAAACCTATGATCATCAAATTTTGTCAGTTGATGCATCTTTGGTCTTCAGAAAATGTCGACCAAAAAGTAGGTCACTGTGACCTACTTTCGACATTTTATGGCTAGATTTAAGTATCTCAGGTACTAATTGGCTTAGAATCATTAAAATTTGTCAGTTGATGCATCTAGGGTTTTCGGAGATTAACGACCAAAAAGTAGGTCATGGTGACCTACTTTTGACATTTTATGGCTATATTTTAGTATCTCGGGTACTTATTGGCTTAGAATCATCAAACTTTGTCATTCGATGCATCTTGGGTTTTCGAAGCATGTCGACCAAAAAGTAGTTCACAATGACCTATTTTTGACATTTTATGGCTAGTTTTATGTATCTCAGGTACTAATTGGTTTAGAATCATCAAATTTTGTCATTTGATGCATCTTAGGTTTTCGGAGCATGTTGACCAAAAAGTAGGTCACGGTGACCCACTTTTGAATATCTCAGGTACTGATTGGCTTAGAATCATCAAACTTTGTCAGTAGATGCATCTTCGGTTTTTGGAGAATGTTGACCAAAAGCAGGTCAAAAAGTAGGTTACAATGACCTACTTTTGTCATTTTATGGCTATATTTAGGTATTTCGGGTACTTATTGCTTTAGAATCATCATACTTTGTTATTTGATGCTTCCTGGGTTCTCGGAAAATGATGATCAAAATATAGGTCACGGTGACCTACATGTGACATTTATGGCTATATTTAAGTATTCTAGGGTACTTATTGGCTTAGAATTGTCAAGCCTTGTCAAATTAAGCACCTTGGGTTTTCGGAGAATGTTGACATATAAGTAGGTCACTGTGACCCACTTTTGAATATCTCAAGTACTTATTGGCTTAGAATCAATCTTTGTCAATTATTGTGTTCTCAAAAAATTTCAATCAAAAAGTAGGTCACCATGACCTACTTATAGTATTTTATAGTTACATTTAAATATCTTCAGCCCTAACTGGCTAAGAATCATCAAACTTTGTCAGTTGATGCATCTTGGGTCTTAGGATAGATTGTATAATTTATCAGAAGAGCGATTCAAGGCCCTTGGGCCTCTTGTTCGAAAAGATGCTGAAGATGTTTATTTAGAAGTGTATATAATAAACACCAGGGGTGACAGTTTTAAAAAATAATAATATTAAAGTTATTACATTCTTAAAATCACTTGTCACCATTTAGTTGGTTTTTAAACCTTGGTCATTTACTTATAATGCACTCAATAAATATTTCACATGTAGAGTTTGACATCACTGACTACATGAAGGTTAAAATGAAAAGAGGGGGGGGGGCACATCTCAGAAAATCTACAGATACTTTTGCTTACTTAACCCTGGCCCATTTCTGTTTTCACCAGGATGTTTTGGCATAAAAACATGAAAGTATGAGTGACAAATTAAAGAAGAAA